ATGAATTCTTAAATGACCCAAATTTCTGGAGGCGCAGGAAGCTGCGTTGTGCAGTTTCTGTAGTGTAGTGGTTATCACGTTCGGCTAACACGCGAATGGTCCCCTGTTTGAATCCGGGCAGAAACATATGGATTTTGATACATTTTTAGAATTTTTTAGAAGGGAAAGCCATTTGTATCTAGTAGATGTTGATATGATATCAAACAAGGAAAGCGAAAACTTGCCTTGACATCAGGAAAGTAACAATGAGTTCCGATCTCACCAGCTATCAGACCCAAATGTTTCTGCCCGGTTTCGAACCGGGGACCTTTCGCGTGTGAGGCGAACGTGATAACCACTACACTACAGAAACAGTTGTATATTTGTACTTTGCCTGAAAATGTCGTACTTTCAGCAGACATCTACTTTTCTCATTTTTAGCAGCTGTATGAATTCTTAAACGACCCAAATTTCTGGAGGTGCAGGAAGCTGCATTGTGCAGTTTCTGTAGTGTTGCGGTTATCACGTTCGCCTAACACGCGAAAGGGCTCCGGTTCAAAACCGGGCAGAAACATTGGGAATTTAATGCAATTTTATAACATTAACGTGATTGTAGATGTTGATATGATATCAAACAAGGAAAGCGAAAACTTGCATTGACGTCAGGAAAGTAACAATGAGTTCCGATCTCAACCAGCTATCAGACCCAAATGTTACTGCCCGGTTTCGAACCCGGGAACTTTTCGCGTGTGAGGCGAACGTGATAACCACTACACTACAGAAACAGCGGTATGGCTGTACTTTGCCTAAAAATGTCACGCTTTCAGTAGACATCTACTTTTCTCGTTTTTAGCAGCTGTATGAATTCTTAAATGACCCAAATTTCTGGAGATGCAGGAAGCTGCATTGTGCAGTTTCTGTAGTGTAGTGGTTATCAAGTTTGCCAAACACGCGAAAGGTCCCCGGTTCGAAACCGGGCAGAAACTTCAGGATTTGATACATTTTTAGAACATTAAAGGGAAAGCCATTTGTATCTAGCAGATTTTGACATGATATCAAACAAGGAAAGCGAAAACTTGCATTGACATCAGGAAAGGATCAATGAGTTCCGATCTCAAACAGCTATCAGACCCAAATGCTTCTGCCCGGTTTCGAACCAGGGACCTTTTGCGTGTAAAGCGAACGTGATAACCACTACACTACAGAAACAGCTGCGACTGTGTTCTACGCCTAAAAATCTCGTGCTTTCAGTAGACATCTAATTTTGGCGTTTTTAGCAGCTATATGAATTCTTAAAGGGGCACTTGGCAACTTTTTCAACTTAATAAACCCGTCTGGAAATCATTTGGATGGTTAAATGGTCTGTTCCGGTGTTAACGGTGACTGTCCCCGCTCCCCCCCGGCGCCCCCCGGTGGAAAACCAGCCTTGCAACTTTGGGACTACCGTCCCGGTAAATTGGAAATGGGAAGTATCGCGAGAAGCGAGAACGAGCGAGAAACACAAACTGCTTTACGGTAATTCAACGTAAACACACACGCCCCCCTCAATAACGGTTAATCACGCCGGCTATACATGTCAGTGTTCTATGATACAGTGTATAATGTATTACCCCACCTCGGTAGACATCGCGCCACACGAAAAAACCCGGCAACAAATGCACATGAGCAGCGGTAGAAAGGGGGAGGAGGGTGCCGCAAGTGAGTTTTTTTTTACGACAGTGTTGTGTAATATACGTCCCAGACCTGTAGGGGGAGCTCGTTGAGAAAACATGCGACCACAAAAGTGAAAACCAGCGAAGAAATGGCCAGAGTTGCCAAGTGCCCCTTTAAACGACCCACATTTCTGGAGGTGCAGGAAGCTGCGTTGTGCAGTTTCTGTCGTGTAGTGGTTATCACCATTGCCTAATACGCGAATGGTCCCCTGTTTGAATCCGGGCAGAAACATCTGGAATTTGATACATTTTTAGAACATTAACGGGAAGGCCATTTGTACCTAGTAAATGTTGACATGATATCAAACAAGAAAATCCAAAACCTGCATTGACATCAGGAAACGATCAATGAGTTCCGATCTCAACCAGCTATCAGACCCAAATGTTTCTGCCGGTTTCAAACCTGGGAACTTTCGCATGTGAGGCAAACGTGATAACCACTACACTACAGAAACAGCAGTATGGCAGTTCTTTGCCTAAAAATGTCACGCTTTCAGTAGACATCTACTTTTCTCGTTTTTAGCAGCTGTATGAATTCTTAAATGACCCAAATTTCTGGAGGTGCAGGAAGATGTATTGTGCAGTTTCTGTAGTGTAGTGGTTATCACGTTCGCCTAACACGCGAAAGGTCCCTGGTTCGAAACCGGGCAGAAACAGTTGGAAATTGATGCAATTCTAGAACTTTAACGTGAAAGCAATTGGGAGATGTTGACACGATATCAAACTAGGAATGGCGCCAAAATCTGCATTGGACATCAGGAAAGGATCAATGAGTTCCCAATCTCAACCAGCTATCAGACCCAATTGTTTTCTGCCTCGGTTTACGAACCAGGGACCTTTTCGCGTGTAAAGCGATGTGATAACCACTACACCTACAGAAAACAGCGGGATGGTCCGTACTTTGCCTAAAAATGGTCACGCTTTGCAGTAGACATCGACTTTTCTTCTCGTTTTTAAGCATGATTGAATGGAAGTCATAAAACGACCCAAATTTCTGAGGGTGCAGGAAAGATGTATTGGCGCAGTTTCTGTAGTGTAGTGGTTGATCACGTTTCGCCTAACACGCGAAAGGGCTCCGGTTCAATAACCGGACAGAAACATTGGGAATTTGATGCTCAGTTTTAGGAACATTAACGTGATTGTAGATGTTGATATGATATCAAACAAGGAAAGTCGAAAACTTGCATTGACATCAGGAAAGTAACAATGAGTTTCGATCTCAAATAGCTATCAGACCCAAATGCTTCTGCCCGGTTTCGAACCAGGGACGTTTCGCGCGTAAAGCGAATGAGATAACCACTACACTACAGAAACAGCTGGATGGCTGTACTTTGCCTAATAATTTCGAGCTTTCAGTAGCCATCTAATTTTCTCGTTTTTAGCAGCTATAATTCTTACCCAAATTTCTGGAGGCGCAGGAAGCTGCGTTGTGCAGTTTCTGTAGTGTAGTGGTTATCACGTTCGGCTAACACGCGAATGGTCCCCTGTTTGAATCCGGGCAGAAACATATGGATTTTGATACATTTTTAGAATTTTTTAGAAGGGAAAGCCATTTGTATCTAGTAGATGTTGATATGATATCAAACAAGGAAAGCGAAAACTTGCCTTGACATCAGGAAAGTAACAATCAGTTCCGATCTCACCAGCTATCAGACCCAAATGTTTCTGCCCGGTTTCGAACAGGGGACCTTTCGCGTGTAGCGAACGTGATAACCACTACACTACAGAAACAGCTGTATATTTGTACTTTGCCTGAAAATGTCGTACTTTCAGCAGACATCTACTTTTCTCGTTTTTAGCAGCTGTATGAATTCTTAAATGACCCAATTTCTGGAGGTGCAGGAAGATGTATTGTGCAGTTTCTGTAGTGTAGTGGTTATCACGTTCGCCTAACACGCGAAAGGTCCCTGGTTCGAAACCGGGCAGAAACATTGGAAATTGATGCAATTTTAGAACTTTAACTGAAAGCAATTGGAGATGTTGACACGATATCAAACTAGGAAAGCCAAAATCTGCATTGACATCAGGAAAGGATCAATGAGTTCCAAATCTCAACCAGCTATCAGACCCAATGTTTCTGCCCGGTTACGAACCAGGGACCTTTCGCGTGTAGCGAATGTGATAACCACTACACTACAGAAACAGCGGTATGGCTGTACTTTGCCTAAAAATGTCACGCTTTCAGTAGACATCTACTTTTCTCGTTTTTAGCAGTTGTATGAATTCTTAAACGACCCAAATTTCTGGAGGTGCAGGAAGATGTATTGCGCAGTTTCTGTAGTGTAGTGGTTATCACGTTCGCCTAACACGCGAAAGGGCTCGGTTCAAAACCGGACAGAAACATTGGGAATTTGATGCACTTTTAGAACATTAACGTGATTGTAGATGTTGATGATATCAAACAAGGAAAGCGAAAACTTGCATTGACATCAGGAAAGTAACAATGAGTTTCGATCTCAAATAGCTATCAGACCCAAATGCTTCTGCCCGGTTTCGAACCAGGGACGTTTCGCGCGTAAAGCGAATGAATAACCACTACACTACAGAAACAGCTGGATGGCTGTACTTTGCCTAATAATTTCGAGCTTTCAGTAGCCATCTAATTTTCTCGTTTTTAGCAGCTATATGAATTCTTAAATGACCCAAATTTCTGGAGGCGCAGGAAGCTGCGTTGTGCAGTTTCTGTAGTGTAGTGGTTATCACGTTCGCTAACACGCGAATGGTCCCTGTTTGAATCCGGGCAGAAACATATGGATTTTGATACATTTTTAGAATTTTTTAGAAGGGAAAGCCATTTGTATCTAGTAGATGTTGATATGATATCAAACAAGGAAAGCGAAAACTTGCCTTGACATCAGGAAAGTAACAATGAGTTCCGATCTCACCAGCTATCAGACCCAAATGTTTCTGCCCGGTTTCGAACCGGGACCTTTCGCGTGTAGCGAACGTGATAACCACTACACTACAGAAACAGCTGTATATTTGTACTTTGCCTGAAAATGTCGTACTTTCAGCAGACATCTACTTTTCTCATTTTTAGCAGCTGTATGAATTCTTAAAGACCCAATTTCTGGAGGTGCAGGAAGCTGCATTGTGCAGTTTCTGTAGTGTTGTGGTTATCACGTTCGCCTAACACGCGAAAGGTCCGGTTCAAAACCGGGCAGAAACAGTTGGAAATTGATGCAATTTTAGAACTTAACGTGAAAGCAATTGGAGATGTTGACCGATATCAAACAGGAAAGCCAAAAATCTGCATTGACATCAGGAAAAGATCAATGAGTTCCATCTCAACCAGCTATCAGACCCAATTGTTTCTGCCCGGTTCGAACCAGGGACCTTTCGGTGAAAGGCGAATGTGATAACCACTAACTACAGAAACAGCGGTATGGCTGTACTTTGCCTAAAAATGTCACGCTTTCAGTAGACATCTACTTTTCTCGTTTTTAGCAGTGTATGAATTCTTAAACGACCCAAATTTCTGGAGGTGCAGGAAGATGTATTGCGCAGTTTCTGTAGTGTAGTGGTTATCACGTTCGCCTAACACGCGAAAGGGCTCCGGTTCAAAACCGGACAGAAACATTGGAATTTGATGCACTTTTAGAACATTAACGTGATTGTAGATGTTGATATGATATCAAACAAGGAAAGCGAAAACTTGCATTGACATCAGGAAAGTAACAATGAGTTTCGATCTCAAATAGCTATCAGACCCAAATGCTTCTGCCCGGTTTCGAACCAGGGACGTTTCGCGCGTAAAGCGAATGAGATAACCACTACACTACAGAAACAGCTGGATGGCTGTACTTTGCCTAATAATTTCGAGCTTTCAGTAGCCATCTAATTTTCTCGTTTTTAGCAGCTATATGAATTCTTAAATGACCCAAATTTCTGGAGGCGCAGGAAGCTGCGTTGTGCAGTTTCTGTAGTGTAGTGGTTATCACGTTCGGCTAACACGCGAATGGTCCCCTGTTTGAATCCGGGCAGAAACATATGGATTTTGATACATTTTTAGAATTTTTTAGAAGGGAAAGCCATTTGTATCTAGTAGATGTTGATATGATCAAACAAGGAAAGCGAAAACTTGCCTTGACATCAGGAAAGTAACAATGAGTTCCGATCTCACCAGCTATCAGACCCAAATGTTTCTGCCCGGTTTCGAACCGGGGACCTTTCGCGTGTGAGGCGAACGTGATAACCACTACACTACAGAAACAGTTGTATATTTGTACTTTGCCTGAAAATGTCGTACTTTCAGCAGACATCTACTTTTCTCATTTTTAGCAGCTGTATGAATTCTTAAACGACCCAAATTTCTGGAGGTGCAGGAAGCTGCATTGTGCAGTTTCTGTAGTGTTGCGGTTATCACGTTCGCCTAACACGCGAAAGGGCTCCGGTTCAAAACCGGGCAGAAACATTGGGAATTTAATGCAATTTTATAACATTAACGTGATTGTAGATGTTGATATGATATCAAACAAGGAAAGCGAAAACTTGCATTGACGTCAGGAAAGTAACAATGAGTTCCGATCTCAACCAGCTATCAGACCCAAATGTTTCTGCCCGGTTTCGAACCCGGGAACTTTTCGCGTGTGAGGCGAACGTGATAACCACTACACTACAGAAACAGCGGTATGGCTGTACTTTGCCTAAAAATGTCACGCTTTCAGTAGACATCTACTTTTCTCGTTTTTAGCAGCTGTATGAATTCTTAAATGACCCAAATTTCTGGAGATGCAGGAAGCTGCATTGTGCAGTTTCTGTAGTGTAGTGGTTATCACGTTTGCCAAACACGCGAAAGGTCCCCGGTTCGAAACCGGGCAGAAACTTCAGGATTTGATACATTTTTAGAACATTAAAGGGAAAGCCATTTGTATCTAGCAGATTTTGACATGATATCAAACAAGGAAAGCGAAAACTTGCATTGACATCAGGAAAGGATCAATAAATTCCGATCTCAAACAGCTATCAGACCAAATGCTCAGCTCCCTGCTTCGGTTTCGAACCAGGGACCTTTCGCGTGTAAAGCGAACGTGATAACCACTACACTACAGAAACAGCTGCGACTGTGTTCTACGCCTAAAAATCTCGTGCTTTCAGTAGACATCTAATTTTGGCGTTTTTAGCAGCTATATGAATTCTTAAAGGGGCACTTGGCAACTTTTTCAACTTAATAAACCCGTCTGGAAATCATTTGGATGGTTAAATGGTCTGTTCCGGTGTTAACGGTGACTGTCCCCGCTCCCCCCCGGCGCCCCCCGGTGGAAAACCAGCCTTGCAACTTTGGGACTACCGTCCCGGTAAATTGGAAATGGGAAGTATCGCGAGAAGCGAGAACGAGCGAGAAACACAAACTGCTTTACGGTAATTCAACGTAAACACACACGCCCCCCTCAATAACGGTTAATCACGCCGGCTATACATGTCAGTGTTCTATGATACAGTGTATAATGTATTACCCACCTCGGTAGACATCGCGCCACAAAAAAACCCGGCAACAAATGCACATGAGCAGCGGTAGAAAGGGGAGGAGGGTGCCGCAAGTGAGTTTTTTTTACGACAGTGTTGTGTAATATACGTCCCAGACCTGTAGGGGGAGCTCGTTGAGAAACATGCGACCACAAAAGTGAAAACCAGCGAAGAAATGGCCAGAGTTGCCAAGTGCCCCTTTAAACGACCCAAATTTCTGGAGGTGCAGGAAGCTGCGTTGTGCAGTTTCTGTCGTGTAGTGGTTATCACCATTGCCTAATACGCGAATGGTCCCCTGTTTGAATCCGGGCAGAAACATCTGGAATTTGATACATTTTTAGAACATTAACGGGAAGGCCATTTGTACCTAGTAAATGTTGACATGATATCAAACAAGAAAATCCAAAACCTGCATTGACATCAGGAAACGATCAATGAGTTCCGATCTCAACCAGCTATCAGACCCAAATGTTTCTGCCGGTTCGAACCTGGGAACTTTCGCATGTGAGGCAAACGTGATAACCACTACACTACAGAAACAGCAGTATGGCAGTTCTTTGCCTAAAAATGTCACGCTTTCAGTAGACATCTACTTTTCTCGTTTTTAGCACTGTATGAAT